GGTTATCAATTCACTTCCAGAACATAATAAACATGATCATGTAATCCATCTTATGGCTATTGAATCCAGGATCCATATGTACGTGTATATATGTATATATTTATTAACAATCAATAAAGCTAACAACGTTATATGCTATTGGCAATGCCGATCGCAATCGATCATAGAGGTGATGCGACGCAAGGTATAAAAATTCACAAAATAGCAAAAATTGTTTTTAAAACTAATGCTATAAATTATGTTATAAATAAGTATTATATAATAAAGCACCATTTGTATAAGAAATCGATAGAATCGATATCATTGCAACTATTTATAAATCTTATGTTTATAAAATTCTTGTATTTTCATTAATTTTTCTTGAATTCTTTAGAAAATAAGAATCGAAATCATATGAAAATTGGAACAACATAAAATAATTTCTCAAAATAATCAGCGTTAAAACAAAACACAAAGAAATTAAACTTGATGACTTTAACAAACAATATTTGTGTAAAAAAAATGTATCAAATTTATTATTATTTTTATCTCTTAAGAATTAATATTACTCTAGTTATAACATAAATATAAATGTATTATATACGATATTCTCATTTTCTGAACTTTTAGAAATAATTCTTAATATATATAACGATATAATTGTTTTGCGATGAATTTGAGTTTGCAATTGTTGTAAAATGAGTTTGTAATTTGTTTATCGAGTTATCATCGTGTATAATCACGAGTTATCACGAGTTCATAAAGATTACATTATTAAATGTATGAAGTTACATTTATTGTAAATATCAAAATTACTACAAAATTACTACAAAACGTCGCAAATAGTTATATTGTTCCAAATGTACTTATAATTAACGGTTATTAATATCGCAATAGTTATTATACAAATATTTAATAGTTGTTAATCATAATAATGTGATGTCGCAATTACGTATAATTATGCTCATTATTGATTAATATGTAGTATATATTAGCATATTCATATAAAAATACGAAAAATACGAAAAAATATTAGACGATTAACGTCTAAAAATATCTTTTATACGGTAATATTCTAAAATACACAATTTAACTTTTCGATTTGGTCTTTCATACTATAATTTGGACTATTGGCAGTTTTTTATAAAAATATTAGAAACAATTTTATCAATACGTTGACAATAAAAAAATAGCTCTATGTTGAAGAAGTTGAAGAATATTTAATTTAAAATTTAGTAATAATAAAGCAATAATGAATAATATAGATATTAGCACTTATATTTTCCAAATAAATTAAGAATATTGTATATACAAAAATGTATTTTAATTACGATTTATCGATACACACTCAAGATGAGAATTAATGAATTTTCCAGAAAAATCTGGAAAGGGTATAAAAAAACCGACATGTTTGTTTTTGCATATTGCTATGTGATACGATTTGCATCTTTATATGAACAAAAATTTATACATTCTTCTTCCCTTAATTTGCATACAGAAAATCGTTCCGGGAATACACATTGTCATCTACGATAGATGTTCCTCATCCGGTCAAAATCTTCCGTGCGAGTATTGTGGTGGTAACAAATATTTCTATGGCGTTGATTAGCGGCCCTTATTTGTGAGAGTGTTGGTGAAGGTAGCCCATGTATCTTCGATAGGTGCCAACACGGTAATCACTATGAGGACTGCGGTGAACACGACGATAACCACAAAGTACACACCAAAAATGAACTTCCGCAGGCCGGAGTGCTGTTAGGAAAATATTCAAAATGAAACTATGTTTGCACACTGATATTTGTTTGTGAACACTGAATTATTTTTCGACGCGGTATTGTTTCTCAGCGTCGATATAATAATCGATAAAATGCTGATTGATTTATATAATTTATTGCAATTTGTAAAATGTAAAATATTTACTACAGATAAATCAAATTATTTTAATAATTTTATTTATAACAATGTATATATTTTGCTTCATTTATGAAATTATTAAATATTGATCGGTCAATCGTTTTTTAACGCGTGAAATTTGTTTGTTATTACGTAGCAGAAGAATGCAATTGAACTACGCTATTATTAGATTTCAAAATATTTACAATCATTAAAAATGCAGTTATTGTTAATTATATTATTTTTCCTATTTATGTCAATTTTATTAATATCTCAAGCGAATCGACACGCGTTAAAATCACGATAACTCGATCACGTCACTCTTATTTTAGAAAATCTTACGGGAGCGTCTCGTCTTGAGTCCGGATGCACCATTGATCCACGAGAATGCATGTCTTTCATTGGGAATGAATTCACTCTCTGACTAGCTTGTCTGTCAGAGACACATCCCAAAAACTGCAATAGAAGCAAAAGTGTCACAAATATAATCACAATCGGAAAGGTGAATCAAGTCGCAAATAATAGTTAAGATAATTGTTATTCGACAACAAATGACACAAATTCCATTAAATATCAGAATACTTGTTTTTTTCCTAAGACATTATATAAAGTACACAATTTTTATACGATTTTCATTTTTTACTATAAAAATACAGAGACAATTTGATATTATTGATTTATTTAATCTAATCTGTCAAAATTGGTTGTACATTTACACTAGTTGCTCCATTAGATTTTTTTGATTTTTTTCTCGAACTTTTCGAGAAAAATTCTCAGAATTTTACGCAGGAATTTAGCAAGCAAAAAATCCTTACTGTGAGAATGAGGTGAGTTAGAACATAGAAGGCCACATATGCTGTGAGGATGTATATGACCCAATCTGGAAGCTTAGCCTTGTTCAACCGTACCGCGAAGAAAAGTGCAATTACTGTAAATTACAAAGATTAATCGTATATTAATTTAACCAATGGATATTTTGAAGAAAATTAATATTTAGATTAATATAATTTAATTAATATTTAGATTATCTCTTATTATCACACAAAATAACATAAAAGCAAAAATGTTAAGTTATTTATTATTGCAATAATTGTTTACTATAGAAAAGTTATAATAAAAATATAAAATTACAAAAAGATATTTTAAATAACATTAAATAAAAAATGTAATAATATTAAAAATAAAAGTTTCTTTACTTACAAGAGCATATTTTTGCCACGTTACCAACGAACCAGTGAGCCCAATTAAAGAGGGCTCTTCGTGGTGCACCAGGATGTGGTCTCATAGCTGCCATGAAGGGCTGGATAAAGCATAAAATTGTGGTGGCCAAGCCGACCGAAGCGTGTATCGTCGCTTTACTCCATCTGCCTAATTCCACGAATATTATCACGAAGGCGGCTATCGTCATCGACCACGTGAGCACCATAAAGAACCTGTGCCACTTGGGGAAAATTGATAGGCGTTCATTAGACAAGAAAGACGCGCAAGAAAAACGACGTGGAACGCTTTCATTTTGCGTGATTTGAACGTTAATAATGCATACGTCAAATAAGGAATTTTAATATCTCATTGACGATACTTAAGTATTCGAATAACGTAGGAAGGAAGTTACCTTGCAGGATATTTAATCATATAAATAATAAAAAAATAATAATAAAAATAAGAAAATAAAATAATAATTGTTTGCTTTTTACACATATTAGCACATAATATGTTAATATCTTCAATGTTATTATGAAATTATTCAAATAAACAAAATAAATAATTTGCAGAGATTGTACATTATCTTTTATAAATTATTAATAAAAAATTAATTTTCAATAATTTATAAAAGATAACGTACAATTTCTGCAAAATATTTTATTTAAATATTTTTAAAATATTTTTAAATATTAAATATAATATTTAAATATAATAAATATAATATTTAATATTAATATTAAATATAATATTTTAAATTTAAATAATATTTTATATAAATTTATTTACTTTTCTAATGTAATAATAGCTTTCTTCTATTTATTATAAAAATAATTCAACTTAATGAGATTTTTAGTCTATTAACAATAGCTGATAATAGTAAGCTACAACTATTAAAATTAGATATGCATTTTAAATAGTTTTAAATAGTACACTGAAATACATTATATATATAAGATTTAAAATAAGTTAAAATAAATATATTAATAGAATAAACTCAAAAGATTTATGTAAATTTATTTAGAGAAACGATTCTTTTTTAAAGAAAAATTCTAAAGTATCACAAAATTAATGAAATTAATCGTGCCAGTTTATCGTGATCAAAAGCAAAAGTTAAGTAGATGAATTAATAATAAGTGTATTTTCATTTTATGAAGTATGTAACTGTGATATTCAATAGGAATAAAGAAATGCACTGTATAATTTTAAAAGAGTATGAGAAACGAGATGCGTGAAATGAAAGATCTGAACGATTGCAGATCTTTGCTTGGAAAACTGCGCACTTACAGCGAACCAGTGATCCTTCCCACATAACTGGGAGTTGACCCAGGTCTGTCTATAATATCTCGCAAGTAGAATCCCGATGGAGGCCGTGCCGACCCACGATGCCAGCATAAGTGCCCCATGAAGGCGAATCAGTAAGTCACTGGCTGCCGGCCATTCTCCGACATCGGCCAACCTCTTCGAAGTACTCGCAATATAGACGAGATTGTGAAAGTCAACGCCATTTGCTAGAAAAAAAAGCAGAGAAGCAACGCGATATCTGTAAATTGTTCGCATAAAAATAGAAAGTTTCGTGTCTCGTGTCTCGCAGCTATGTATGTTGTACAACGTTACTTTTAATTAATCCGAATAATCGCCGTGACGGTAAGAATATCAGAAACCGATCCACCTGGCTCGCGTTTCATTCATGTTTCCGTTCGTTCAAGGAAGCTATCGAATTTGCAGTTATCGCAACCTGCGACGTAGAAAGAAAGTAAAGTTCTTGCACATTTTGCTCTCGGTGAAGATACACGGGAAGTGAACTTCGTGAAGTCTTGCCAAGTCTTTCTATTCTTTTTATTTAAAAAGGTGTGACGAGATAAATCTCCTTACTTATTATAAATCTGACATTTTATTGGCAGCGGTTATTTTAGTGGTCATTAAATCGGAAAGTCTGTCTCTGTGAGTTACGTAATTAGTAACAATTAAATTTAATAACGTTGACAATATAATAAATATAATAACGTAATAATATAATAAATTTTAATTAACCTTGAAAATGTAACGTTCAAGATATTCGGTATTTTTATACATACGTCTCAGATCGTCGCCGGCGGCCAGTAAAAGGTGGTACGGAGTGTTGACAAGGTCATATGTACGTCCCTGAAAGACGGTGAGTTTGTCCCGTCGAAACTTGCAGTATATCACGTCATTTTTGATCGCAGCACTCTCCAGCTCAACCGCGCCTTCCGGCTGTATCAAATTACGAATAAAGTAAGACCAACAATTCGGACACGAATTTCAAAAACAAAATCAAAATAACTCGCAATGATGTAGAAAGAATTATTTTTAATTAGATACATCGGCCGGCATGGGACATTCTTCGATCAACATTCTTCTTTCGATTACAGTCGATTCTGCCTTAGCGAGGATATTGATTAAATATATATTTGAATAAAATTGACGTAAAATTTTATGGTGAACCTCAAACCTTTTGTTAAAATTATGTTAAATCGGAGATGATACTAGATACTAATGTAGTAATACTAGTCTAGAACTAGAATAACGCGCGGTAAGATTTAGAGTCAATCTGTTAATGAGGCAGCTTAATAGAAATACTCCTTATGTGAGCTTCGTAATTATTTGTAAAGCTTAAAGATTTACTGCATTATCGTACCGAGAACGACACCGCGGCTACGGCGAGCGCAATAATTGGGACTTAATGGACCGGACTCGTTGCCCCGGCGCGACAGAGCACAGGGGCGAATTAATTAGTACAATAGTGCATCCAGCTGGAGAACGATGCGGCACGATAAACGATACTCACCATCGTATAGCGCGTATTCCGTCTTCCGGAATTCCAAGACGTGTGTAACGCAATCTCGCCATTCTCGTTCGTGCACTCGACTACACTGTCTTCACCCTGCACACCATTTCATGTATTATAACTTAACCATTACCATTAAAGTTAAATGTTGATCCCGTAAATTACGCGCTTTAATTAATTGAAAATAATTGAATCGTATTACTTTCAGCGACAACAACGCCATTAGCAGCCAAATAAATATTACACACACACACACACACACACACACACACACATCGTGTATTAAATAAACACGAACACGCCAAAAAAATTCAATTACGTCTGCAATGATAACGATTCAAATTATTTAATTAAAGATTTAAATACAATAACATTAAACTAATCTAATTATTCAAGATTATTTTAATTCAATTATTGATATTCTATTAGGTGCTGACAACGTAATTTAATACTTTATTTAATTAATACCTTTTAAAGAAATGAGTATCATATTTTTCAAGAAATCGAAAAATTTTAGCTAATCTTTTTAAAGGCAATTAAGAAAAGATATTGATAAATGTGCATTAATTAATTAAAAATTTAAATACAATTTAAATACATATTAAAATAATCTGATCATTCATTTTAATTCAATTATTCATATTTTGATTAAACGCTGACAACGTATTTAATATTTCTTAGAAAAATAAATATCGTACTTTTCAAAAACTCGCAAAATTTTAATAAATTTTTCCAAAGGCAGTTTTTCAAAGGAAAAGTATTAATAAATGTATTAATTAATTAAAGATTTAAATACAATAATAAAAACTTAAATATATTAAAATAATCTGATTACTTAAGTTTATTTTAATTCAATTATTCATATTCTTATCAGACAACTTATTTAATATTCTGTAATTAATATTTCTTAAAAAATGAATATATCGTACTTTTCAAAAACTCGCAAAATTTTAGCAAATTTTTTCCGAAGACATTTAAGGAAACGTACTGATGAAATGTGCAGTAATTAATTAAAAATACAACGATATTAATAATTTGATTATTTAAGATTATTTTTTAATTCAATTATTCATATTCTTATTAGACGCTTATTTAAGACAACGTATTTAATATTTTGTAATTAATATTTCTTAAAGAAAATAGGAATCATAAATCTTTTAAAAGTTCTTGCAAAAATTTTTGCAAGTTCTTCCAAAGGTAGTTAAAGGGAGGAGGTTATTGAAAAGTACAGACATTTCAGCAGGCTAATAAAAAGGCCGAGAAGGCCGATAAAAAACGACAGTGGAGGCGTAACTACTTCACACACTCAATAAAAATACTTTCGCGGAGATTATGCAAGTTTCCCCTTAAATCGCATGAGAGTTTGCGAAGAAGCTGCGCGGGAGGATACCCAGGCGGGAGGAGCGCAGCGTTTCATGACAATTACCATATCCTTATCATCCGACAGGCCGACAGCAACGTATTTGGCGTCCCTCCGTGCCTGCATCTCGAAATGATATTCCTCGCCCTGCACGATCACGGCCACCACGGCGAGGCAGTCCTTGGTTTTTATGCAACCCCCGGGCGCGCCGAAGCAGTTCTTCGTGGTGTCGCAGCCCGCGTAGAACGGGTCCACCTCATCCTTCGCCTGCGAACGAGAACACACACACACACCTGGGGATGACTGGGGAGAATTTACACAGGCGGGAATGCCGTTCGCGAGATATGGTACCTCGTGCGGAACAACGCGATTGCAGAGATTGCGCAACGCGTTCTTCCGTCGTTTTGAGCCGAAATCATCACGCGATCGACACGATGACGCGGATGGAAAATGAGCGAGGTACGAGGTAGGGGAGGGTAAAGGAGTTTCGGATACTTGTCGATAATCGAGGGATGCTTGGAAGTCGTTCGCTTTAACATTATCTCGGAAGCGTCAGACTTTGACATATCGAGGGCATAAGACATTTTCCCCTTACTATTATGATCAACATAGAAAGGTTTATTTAAAGTGTATACCTTGAAATAGTTTCTCGTTAGATATACATAAGATCAGCAACGAGATCCGGGAAGAAAATACGAGTTACGTTAAATTACAAAAAATTACTGGAAGGTATACTAGGGAAATAGATGTTGCATACAACTAAAGTTTATATTAAATAATCGTTTAAATAATTAAAAATTTTAAAGAGAGAATTAACTTATGAAAAATAAAGCCTAAAACTATGTTATAAGAGAGATTTACGTAAAAAAAAAATGATTTGTAAAACGCCGTGTTTTAAAAACTTGTGAACAACGTTTCATGTAATTTTCGAAACAAGAAACAATATACATTTGTTTAGTGCACAAATGTATATTGTCTCTTATCGAAAATGCTTTGTTTTATCAACATAGACAAAACATAACACGATATTGTCCAGTATAAAATTAAAATATCACTATACTAATGTTTGATTATGACGCAAAAATAATTATGACAATGATGAGAATACTAAATATAGAATACTATATGTATAAAAGAAAATATAAATAAAAATATATATTTGAAACAAATTCCGAACTAAATGTTGCTAAACAATAATTTAATAATTTTTAATTATACAATTTTTAATTATACAATTGTTAATTATACAATTTAATTTAAGAACAAGTAAATATTTAGTGTAGAATATTTAATAATTATGTTACATAATTAATATTTTATGCGTATGTATACATTATTTCTTATTTATTTTAAAATAGTTTCTACCAGTATAGAATAAAATTCAAATTTTCATATCATGAGGTAAATTAAACAGTTAAAAATTGTGTCTTGATTGAATATTGCAAGTATTATGAATTTCTACAAAATTGTAATATGTTGAATTGTATAAATAATGCACGTGCGGTAATGCATAATTTATCTATTTATTTAAATACTAATATTATTTATAATTATATAAATAATGCGTACTTAGATAAATAAAGTAGTATTATTTGAATAAATATTTGATGCATTGTGGCCAATAAAAATACGAGTATGAGTCAGCGAAAAGTCGTAATAAAGGAGGCCTTGTGGAGCAAATCGTGCGCAACAATTTGCGGGAACTCACAGCCGAACGAAAAGGAAATCTGCACGGCGGGAGAAAGAGAAGTTTGACGACCAGCCTTCAACTTAGATACGCTCCGCGAAATCGTGCATTTACGCTCCGACGGCCTCGTGCGCCATTACCGCTCTTTGGTGTACTTTTACGCTTTTTATCGCGAACGATCGAGCGCCGTTTTCAAGGAAAGGCCACTCGTCCGCACAGCGGGATGTAATTATTCAATGAATCTGTCGCACGTATTGTTTAACCAAATCAAAAAGCAATTCATTTTCGACGGAAAAATGTTTTCACAGTGGCGGTCGAGGGATTCTGCGTCGCGAAGTTTCGTGTCGAAAAGTCTGATAATTTATAGAAATTGCAGAGGAAGCGATCGATAAGTTCCTCCATTCTATTATTTTATTTTTAAAGGCAAACTGCAATAATTCTGTA